CAAACCTTTTCAAAGTTGTAAAGCAAAACATATATTTTCTTATACCATGGAATACAGACATTGCAAGTGAGCTTAATGCATTCAGCAACCTGCAAGCATTTCATAAAGTCTAAACACTAAATACATTCTTATAAAATGAATACCTATTTGAGCATAGGATGACCAGGTATCCCGATTTTATAGGGACAATTCCAATTTTTGGGTCTTTTTCTTATATAACCTCCTATTACCCCCTACCCCGTCCCGATTTTTCACACTTGCTATCTGGTCACCCTATTTGAGCAAAACTAACATGGAGGTGAATTGGTCTGCTCGCCAGTTACAAGTTTGTTAGTTCTTAGCTAATGCCTGCAACTGAGCTGGCCTGCCAGCATCACGCCTGATCCAAAACTCACTGAAATCAATGGACAGCTTTCCATTGAATTCAATGGGCTTTGGATCAGGCATTCATGAATTAGGCTGTTCATTATCTGAAAAATCAGATACCTCAAGCTTCTCTTGTTCAAGGTCTCTTATTAGAAGGCAGGTACTGTATTAATTTCTCAAAGACTCAGTAAATATTATTGGTCTCCTTCTGGTTGATCAGGTTTTGTTCTTCCCACAATCGTCTTACCTTGTCTATTTGTACTTTTATTACTGAAACCATGTCCTGTTACATAGTTCTCTCTCCGGCAAAATTTCCACTTAAGTTCATATGGGCTTTTTCTTGACTGCAGAATTTGATCTATTATGATCACAATTAAATAGTTGTTGGGCATGTCATTAGAGAGACAAGGTGGGTGGGATAATACCTTTCATTGGACCAACTTCTGTTTGTGAAAGAGACAAGCCTTCAAGCTACACAGAGCTCTTCTTCAGCTCTGGGAAAAGTACTTCAAGCTGCACTGCTAAATGCAAAGATGGAACAGTTGTTTAGCATAAATAGTTAACACACATATACTAAGGGACTGTTCAAGGCAGAGTGGCCCGTTAACACGTCTGCAGTCATAGGACAACAAAGAAGGGGTTAGTGGGTTACATATTGTAATAAACCATAGATTCAGTGTCTCTGTTCAATCCATGATTTTTAGTGTCTAGCAGAGTTATGAATTTAAGCTCCCAGGCTTATCTTTTGTTTTGAAGGTGTTATGCACACCATTATTGATTCCTGTGTGCTGACTACTTATGCTAAACAATTTGTTCCACCTTGCATTTCACTGTGATGTTTGGAGTACCTTTCCCAGACCTGAAGAAGAAGAGCTCTTTCTGGCTGGAAAGCTTGTCTCTCTCACCAACAGAAGTTTGTCTAATAAAAGATATTATCTCACCGACTTTGTCTCTCTAATGTCCTGGGTCTGAAATTGCTACAACTACACTGCATAAATATGGCATTTGGAAATGATTCCATTTCAAGTGAAACTTTTTTAAAGGCTGACTCCTACTGCTATCCCAGAGCAGTTCAGAGGGGTTAGATCAGGGATGGGCAAACTTTTTGGCCCGAGGGCTGCATCGGGTTTCATAAATTGTATGGAGGGCCGGTTAGGGGAGGGGGTCATGGCCCTGCTCCCACCTCCTATCTGTCCCCCCCGGGACTCCTGCCCCATCCAACCCCCCCGTTCCCTGACGGCCCCCCCAGGACCCCTTCTTCATCCAACCACTCCTTCTCTCTGTCCCCTGACTTCCCCCGGAACCCCTGACCCTGACTGCCCCCCTGCTGCCCCATCCAACCCCCCCTTTCCTGACTGCCCCCCCCGGGACCCCTGCCCCCTTTAGCCACCTGTTCCCTCCCGACTGCCCCACCCCCTATCCACAACCCCACCCCCTGACCACCACCCCGAACGCCCCTGCCCTCTATCCAAACCCCGCTGCCCCCTTACTGCACTGCCTGGAGCACTGGTGGCTGGTGACGCTACAGCCACGCCGCCCGGCTGGAGTCGGACCACGCTGCCGCCACTGCCACCATGCAGCTCAGAGCACCGGGTCAGGCCAGGCTCTGCAGCTGCGCTGCCCCAGGAGCTCACAGCCCCGCCGCCCAGAGCATTGCACCGGTGGCGGAGCTAGTGAGCTCAGGCTGTGGGAGAGGGGGGACAGAAGGAGAGGGGCTGGAGACTAGCCTCCCAGGCCAGGAGCTCGGGGGCAAGGCAGAACGGTCCCGCGGGCCGGATGTGGCCTGTGGGCTGTAGTTTGCCCACGTTTGGGTTAGATGGATTAGTACTAGATAGGGACCAAATCCAATTGCTGTGACATGTGCAGGTAGGAAAGTGGGCAAACCTAGGTTTGGAAGTACAGTACTTGAGCTTTTGAAACAGCAAATCATTTTATTGTACCTTTTAGTCACAGCACAGATGAGATGTTTTTGCTAACCACAAAATTAATATTTGAGTTGTGCTTGATCTTCACGCCATACTGACAAATCATCTGCTGCTGGCTTGCAGAGCTCTAAGTAGAAATTGAATCGTTTTTCAGGTTTGCCATGGGAAGAACTTGACATTAAGGCAGAAAATATACAAAATAAATATATATTTTCTTTTTCCCAATTGACTTTGTGCACTTGACCATATTTTTCACAAAAATAGCTACAAAATTAACTTTTCACATTATTGCAGTAGAATTGTGTGTAATAAAACTATTGATTCTCTTGGCTGCAGGGCAAAGTGCACTCAAGTATAAACCAGGAGTGATTCATATTACAGTAAAATAAGATATAAAGGGGTTATTAATACTAATTTCTGCTATATGTGATATAGTAAAAGCTATTTATTACAACAAAGTTTGTTTCAAACAACTTGGTACCACGAGTAATCATCATTATGCAATTGCATATTGTAGCTTTTCTAAGCCATAACATACACATTCTACGCAATGATTTTTCTCCGTTTAGCTTCAGAAAAGCTCACTATCTAATTTACACGATGACTGTACTTCATGTAAAATTTAACTCTGTCTATTAAAACAGACACTGTATGGACCCAGATAAAGCCAATGGGTCAGATTCTCATTTCCGTTGCAGTGATGTAAAACCCGGATTAATGCCACTGAAGTTGATGGAGTTTCTCCAGTTTTATATTATTGTAACAAAGCACAAAATCTGGTTCAAGGGAAGTTTGGTTAAGTAAAGACTGCAGAATCTGTCCTTATATTTGGAATCTACTATTGGGGGTAGAATTTTGGGTTTTGGGAAAGATAAGGAAACTAGTGGAAAACTTCATAATATTCAGTTCCTTACAAACAATGCCAAATTTCAACAAAATATTACTCAGATTTATTTCTATTTGCATGGAACAAGTGTCTACTACTACCTACTTCAGAGAATTTCTATAAGAGGAATGTTTGTTGTTTCATCAACCAATGTAACCTCTGAAGAGCGAATGTAGCTTTTTATTAGAACAACAAAATAATTATCATGGGCAGAAACATATGCTAGAACATTTCATCATATCCTCATTGTAGAAATCCTGCCAATAATACTATCCCAATTGCCGTAACCATCAGGCCCTGTCTATGTTGTAGTGTTGCCAGAGGTGCAATTGAAGAAGCCTTCTTTACTGAGACATTATTGCAGTTAAAAATGTATGGTAGTGTGTGCACAATTTATTTTGGTAATCACATGATTATCTTTTTGTTTGTATATTACTCAGTTTTTCACAAGCAGAAATAGGTGTTTGTGGATAACTATTGCTATATTTACATATCTGTAATTGTATATTGAGTGGTTACTATTGAATAGTTTCTAGCTTAATTTATTTCTTTTGCTCTTATTTAAAACAAAAAATTATTAAGAGTTTAGCTCCATTCCTGAGAACTGTCTATTCTCACCCAACACTAATCCCTATAATGTTACACAATTGCTTAGAACAATTTCAGTCCTGGAAAATAAAAACTATATTTTATACATAAAATATGATGGTTGAGTTCTTGTGACATTTATCGTCACCTTGCGGATAGTGGGATAATGTACTGTCCCCATTGTAATACCACCTTCCATTCCTGAATTATTAAGATAAATGGCTGAACAAAGACCAGCCATTAGGCAACAGGCACACAAAGTAAATAATACTAGACAAGCAACCATAGTACACAAGGATAGGGATGGGGCTTGCCAGTGAGTCCATAAAAAGAAGAACCCTTGTCTCCAGAAATCCAAGTTGGAATTTTCATTAGCTGTTGCCAGAGTATCATATTGTTGATAGTCTGTCAGATTAAAAGTACTATGGCTGTACTGAAGCTACTGCCATAGTAACACAGCATATTATGCTATATGTTATTCTGTGGGATCTTTCTGAAATATTTTATAGAAATATCACTCTAGAGTTACTTTCATCCTGGAAAGTTATTTTTCTATTGCTGAAGTAAGTGTTTCTTTAGAGAAATAAATTGTTTAAAGAACAGACAACAGTATTTCAGCAACAGAAAAATAATTGATCAGTGATTTTTGTTCTGTATCTGAAATTCCACTTGACGAAAAGTACTGTAGCTTTCATGTGGCTGATAATATCATACTGTTATCGCACCTGAAAAAGTTGAACTGAAAAAGGATCCTGGAGCTGAATTGGCTTGATATTCAAATTCAGCTTTTGAGATTGCCAAACTGTAATGCAAGCAACAAAATAAATATTTGGGTCAAATTATGGTTGCCCAGCAGACACAGATTTATGCCAGAAGCCCCAAGACCTGAAGAGAAAACATTATCCACCCCAACTCTGACCAAAAACCTACCACCAAGAGACTTGGAGGAGAATTCTGGATATAATGTGCAGGTGCATGCAAATACATACTGTGGCCTATCATGACACCTATGCATCTTCCCCAATAATTTCTGCATATAACAATTGGCTTCATAAAGGGTTCTTCCAGCCTGAATATAAGCCTCCATTAATGTTGCTTTTTTATGTCAATGGAAGTTTTATGTGTTGTAGGAGTCCATTCCTTCACCCTCACAGAATATCTCAGTTAGTCAACATTTTACAAATGTTATAATATATATATATGAAAAACAAATATTTTGGTCCTTTTCTTTTTAGGAATATATGGACTCAAATAAATACATAGAGCATTTAGTAACTCAGCTAGAAGAGCAACGGTGGAACCTATGGAGGCAAGTACAATTTATATGCATATATTTGTTTTGGAAAGAGATACAATATTCCATAGTTTTTGCTGCTGACTTTAGATAAGATGGACAGGTGTTGAACTTCCAAATCTGCACTTCTGTTAAATACCCACCCACAAACATTAAACTCTCACCTGAGTTTTAACCACAGATGAAATAACTCAACAGTGCACCACACAGTCACTCTAGGAGTGGAATCATATCCAGATTGTTAAATATGTCTGCAGGTATCCCTGTGTGTGGAAATATTCTGTTTTCCAAGCATTTGCTATGCTTATCCCTGCTTAGCATTATTGTCAGTTTCACTGGAGTGGGTTTACCAGGCAGTTTGGTCTCCTTGAATATAGGAGTCTCTTTCAAATGGAATGTGAAAGGAGTAACATAAGTTACCATGAAGTGGTGATAACATGGCAACATAAGATATTTGGAGTTTTAAAACCCAAACTAGCAATGGTTAACGAGCCTGCTGCAATGAAAGCTTGTCTCTCTCACCAATAGAAGTTGGTCCTATAAAAGATATTACCTCACCCACTTGTTTCTTCAATGAAAAAGAGGCAGTCTTGATGCTCTAGTAAGTATTTTCCATATCTCCTGCTTTCACATCGATTACCACTGGATGTCCAGACACAATTTGCATATCTATAAAGTGATGATTTACATATGCTAATATATACCTAGTGGGGATTTCTGCTCCATCTTGATCAACTGAGAAATGTGCATGAGCACTTGAAAATCCCATCGAATTCTGTGTGCTTAGGCAAGTTGGATGCAAGAGAACTTTGAAAATTCCCCTGCATGCGTTTGCCTTAGAAAACGTAATCTACTCATAAGTTATCAGTTTATCTAGTTCTGCTACAATAAAGTAGCTATTCAATTCTAAATACATTTTCCCTGCGTGTGCCTGAAACTTGATTGGATAGCTTTACTTGGATGGTTTTACTGAAGTGTTCCCAATGATGCCAGATACCATGGCCCATCCCCATTATGTAAACCATACTACTGTAAATTTTTTGCAACTCTCTAAAGTTATTGAAATGTCATTCATAAAAGTGACAACTTGCAACATGAATGGTTTTGGTGCTGTATTGTTGTTTCTGAAGAATTGTACTCTGCAGGTTGTCCCAGGGCTGTCCTGGTAAGAAATGCTACAAACATCCCAAAAGTCTTTTTCTCTGATTTTTTTTCTTTTGTCTCAACAAATCCTATTTAACTTTAGATGACTCATTCCCTCTATAAGTGGATAACTTATTTGATCAGATTTTTATTAGTTTGTGAAATTGCACCAGTTTTTTATTTATGTAGATTTGTAGTTGTTACACATGACATGTGATAACTAAGTAGCTATAGGGAAACACTTTGCAGGCTGTATTTGCTGTATATTTTTTGAGCATCCATTATCTCTGTGATAAATGAAAGGGGCAGGGATAGCTCCCTTTTATGGACACCCAGCTAGCTATAAAATCCCTCTCAGTAGTTGTTCTCTACTTGCTTTACCTGTAAAGGGTTAAAAAGTCTCCCTGCATAGGTAAAAGGAAGGGAGTGGGCACCTGACCAAAAGAGATAATGGGAAGGCTAGAACTTTTTAAAAATTGGGGGGAAAATTCCCCTTTGTTTGTGTTGTTCTCAGGGAGAGAGGGAACAGGGCATAACTATGCTGTAAAAAGCTTGGGCCAGTATGAAAAATCATTAGATCATACCTAGAAGCTACTCATTTGAAACCCCAGATATGTAAGTAGATCAGGAAATGTCTAGGAAGACATGATTAGGTTTATTTCTTTTATCTCTTTATGGCTTATGGATTCCTCTGGGCTAACCCCAAATGCTTTTCATAGAATCATAGAAGATTATGTATGGAAGAGACCTCAGGAGGTCATCTAGTCCAACCCCCTGCTCAAGGCAGGAACAACACCAACTAAATCATCCCAGCCAGGTCTTTGTCAAGGGCCTTAAAAACCTCTAAGGATGGAAATTCCACCACCTCCCTAGGTAACCCATTCCAGTGCTTCACCACCCTCCTTGTGAAATAGTGTTTCCTAATATCCAACCTAGACCTTCCCCACTGCAACTTGAGATAATTGCTCCTTGTTCTGTCATCTGAGAACAGCCTAGCTCCATCCTCTTTGGAACCCCCCATCAGGTAGTTGAAGGCAGCTATCAACCCCCCTCACTCTTCTCTTCTGCAGACTAAACAAGCCCAGTTCCCTCAGCCTCTCCTCATAAGTCATGTGCCCCAGCCCCCTGATCATTTTCGTTGCCCTCCACTGGACTCTTTCCAATTTTTCTACGTCCTTTCTGTAGTTGGGGGCCCAAAACTGGACGCAATACTCCAGATGTGTCACCAGTGCCGAATAGAGGGGAATAATCACTTCTCTCGATCTGCTGGCAATGCTCCTACTAATGCAGCCCAATATGCCATTAACCTTCTTGGCAACAAGGGCACACAGGTGACTCATATCCAGCTTGTCATCCACTGTAATCTCCAGGTCCTTTTCTGCAGAACTGCTGCTTAGCCAGTCGGTCCCCAGCCTGTTGCGGTGCATGGGATTCTTCCTTCCTAAGTGCAGGACTCTGCACTTGTCCTTGTTGAACCTCATCAGATTTCTTTTGGCCCAATCCTCCAATTTGTCTAGGTCACTCTGGACCCTATCCCTACCCTCCAGCATATTTACCTCTCCCCACACCTTAGTGTCATCTGCAAACTTGCTGAGAGTGCAATCCATCCCGTCATCCAGATCATTAATAAAGATGTTGAACCGCTTGATACCGGCTGCCAACTTTTGTTTTGCTTGTAACCTTTAAGCTGGACCTCAAGAAAGTTGTTTTGATGCTTAATCCTTATAAGTGGTTCTTTTTAAAATCTAGCAATAGTCTGAGTTTTTGGACATATTTTCTTTCTTTTTGTTTTAATAAAAATTTACCTTTTTTAAGAACAGGATTGGATTTTTGTGTCCTAAGAGGTTTATGCACATGTTTAATTAGTTGGTGGCAACAGCTGATTTCCTTTGTTTTTCTTTCTCAGCTCTTCCCCGGAGGTGGGGGGTGAAAGGGCTTGAGGGTACCCCCACAGGAAAGAATTCCTAAGTGTGCCTTCCTGGGTTCTCAAAGTGGGTTTTGCACTTGGGTGGTGGCAGCATCTACCCATCCAAGGTCAGAGAAAAGCTGTAACCTTGGGAATTTAATACAAACCTGGAGTGGCCACTATTAAGTTTTAGAATCCTTGCGGGCCCCCACCTTCTGCACTCAAAGTGCCAGAATGGGGAATCAGCCTTGACAATCTCACATTTTTATAGGTATAGGGGCCAAATTTATATCTGAAATAACTCTACTGTGAAGCCACTGGAATTATACCAGGGATGAAACTGATGTAATATTTACCATCCATATATTTTTGTGTGCAATATTTGATTATTTTTTCTTTCTGCATATAGAAGGTTCATGAATATGAGAAGTCCTCCATTAAGTTTGCAGACAAGTATAATTTAATTTTCTCAAATAGGTTAAACCAATGCACCTCAGATCTGATCTCGGGAGAGGAATAATTAAGTTCTGATGATTTTTCAGCCTGTATGCTCTAAAAAGGTGGATTTTCACATTGCTTGATATAGCTCTGATGAACATTCCTGTCCTCTGGGATATAAAATTGGATTAAAATAACATTTCTGACATGGGTTTAGCTTCATTGAAAGCTAGACTACAAAAGTTTGTGGACATTCAGTTCCCATTTTCTTTCAAAATTGAATTGTTATACCAGAAGAAACAAGGGTTTTCATGTAAAATTACAATATTCAGTAAAATGCATTTGATTAAGAATGAAGGTTAATAGTAGCATTATAGCTGAATAACAATATTATGAATAAATGGAAATGAATAGTAGAATAAAGAAAATGGAAAAACTCGTTGAAAACCAGAATATATATAAGGACTTTATTGAATTGTGAACTGACATTCAGCTAGTCCTGAAAACTGAATGTTCTTTGCAGTTAAAGTCAGCACTTTCTTTTTATTATTATTTACAGAGTAACATTGAGATAAAAAACTTTAGAATGACAATGAATACTATAAAAAAAATCCTCTCTGGTTTGATAGACTATCTTGAATGCTTTATTATAGATTTAAAAGAGAGAAATCTGTAATATGTTAACGATCATGGGAATAGCTCATGCTATACAAGAGCAGTACTAGATTGTCTAGAGTCAGACAGATGCCTTAATAAATCAGCATAGACCACTTCTCAGACTTCATTATGCCCTTGATTTGTGGCTGCCACAATTTTAACCTGTTGGGTCATTGGGCATTGAACCTGACATTGAACGATAGCCCCCAGTTTACTCTAGGCTAGCTAATAAAAAAGACAGATACAAATTCTGAACATTTAGCTCCTTCAACATTGCTTACAGCCTGGGCTGATTTATAGCAACCAGTCTGAGACAGAAGAGACTAAAACTGATGTCACGGCACTCATATAGAATGTTTACGGTACCACATGTACAACAGCAAACTAAAAGGCACTTAATTAGATGTGGGAGCAGAAATTTCTTTTTCTTCTCATTTTACAGAGCTTGATATATTTTACTTTCTTCATGTGGCATAGCCATCTGTTGTGGAACATAGAAATTTATTGCTGTAATCATACTCCCAAGAGGACTGGTTATGTTTAGGTCATGTTTCATAGCATGCTACTAAAATAGACCTCCAGATTTTCAGTTTCTAAAGAACTTCAGAGGCATAAGCATTGCTACCTCAGCAGTGTCTGAAAGTACAGCTGTTTTTGCCCCACACCCTTTTCTTACACTAAGAACCTTAGACAGCTTATTGTTGTATGAAGAATTAAGACAGCAATAAAGGTAGAAATTCACTATCTGAAACAAGATACATACACACACTCACACACTAGTAGCTGAAAGCCTGCGCTGTCACACAGGTGTAATTTGTAAAGTCACGTGTGTAAAAAAAAGACAAAAATAGCTTGGAACTTAAAAATTAGA